TTTTAATACATTGGTGAGAGTCGCATTTACGTGAATAAGAACATGCACTAAGAAAGAAAAGCAAGCCAAAGTCGAAACGGGGTGTATCATGGACTTGGTACAACATGCGCTGTGACAATTGAGTGTTCGTCGACATCATTTTGGGGCACAATTGAACTTCAAGTACGTTGCGAAACTTGCTACGCGGCGATGCTGACATCAAGTATGTGTTGACCGAAGTTTGACCCCAAGTCACGCACTGAACTGGCGCGTTACCTTAGCAACCCTTTTCTTTCTTGGTCCGCGCTTCGATCTCGTAAATTTGTTATTATATCCAGCGGTACTGTAATAACACAACTTGTATCCAACTCTGTATTGGCTTTGAATATTTCAACATCGTTTACTTAGTGTGCTGCTTTTCTAATAACGTAAATATGTTTACAGTATTGCACGGGCTCTAAGTATTTCAACTTTGCAATGTATTGCTTTTATAATAATTACGCAAACTAAGTTATTTTTTATTATTGTTGGGACACTAACCCGGGCTATTGGGTCTGTGAATATTTCAATATTACCGACTTGATAATGCGAATATATAAACATGGGCACATTTAAATCATTGAAAAAGATAGTCAGGTCCCAGAGTCAGGTGTCTAACGAAAGTCGAGAAAATATTTTAAATACTTGTGACTCATCGGTGAATTATTTTATTCGAAATAAAGTGAATATGTAATATTAACCATACAATAACGTACAATATCATGCGTAATGTAAAATTTTTCAATAATAAACTCGCAGCGCACTTCGATCGCATTATTCACGTACATTTCGACTGAACTCTAATAACCACGTGTTTGAATTACGTGCGACAATGGGCAATGACCTCAATGAGTTCACGGACTGACATTTAAATTCGGGCCACCCAGTTTGACACAAAACGATATAGTTACTTAACATTTGTTCAAAAAATCGGTAAACTCTCGCAAAAAACACACGTCAATACAAGATTATGTGTGCGAGGTTAGATTTATAGAACGTACATGGCCGCTTAACTCTGTTTTTTTTTTTAAATAATCATGTCGCACGTGAAACACAGGAGACATTTTAGTTTGTCCATTTCTTGTTTACCGATCTTGAACTTTTTGTCTGGAATGCGATACAGGCAAAGAATAAACATTAATGATACCCACCGTTGTCAAATCAACAAGAGGCTCAAATCAGGAAGGCTCGGCTATTTAAAACTTCGTAAATAACATTCTTTTCATGTGGTAGACTTTATTCAAGTGTAACAAACGTAAGTGAAATGTATGGACGAGTCATAATAATCGTACCTTCGAAAGTTACGACTTTTACTCTTGGAATTGGTGATAAATACATGCATAAAATGCAACATTGTTTCACGCAACAACAATTTGTATACAGCATTGGACTTATGGATTTTTATATTAATAAAATACGTGGGCCAATAATATTACCATATGCTTACTATTTCCATGCCAGCGATGCTCGTAACCTGCTCGATTTAAAAACAGCTATTTGAAACAAAGACTCATGGAATCACAAAGGAAACTGTTAAGTACGAATTTCACACCTTTCCTACGACCGTGGTTGCAACCGGTACCGGTGGCCACCGCGGTAGAGACCCCTAATTATAAGCAGTCCGCGGCTCTCCCCGGTGAACCGCGGTGATTACTGCGGTGAACCGCCTGTTTGATTTCCTACTCTCCCCTTAATGAGATTATAGCCTAGATGACAATGAAAAATGTGTTACGCTGTGCTAATGTTCGCAGTCAGTGACATGATTCTATTTTCATCATGCAATTTAGCACTTCTACATCCAATGTAATCAAAGGAAAGTGTTTGAATGTGACGCCAATATCTTGGAACGTGTCAATGTTGGTACAGTGAAACACCATATAAGAGAAATTTGAATGTTTGAATGAGTACTGATACACTTTGGCAAAAGCGCTGATACAGCTTTTGACAAAAATGCAAAAAATACTGTTTTCAGTGTCACATGTAGATGTATAATAATAAAAGTTACACATGTACATGTAACCATAGTCAGCTGACCACTAAAAATTATCAGCAAAAACAGTTATCATCGTACTAAAAGCATTAAAATAATTTTACAGTTACGAAAATAATCCAAAAAGCTAAAAAAAGATACCCCCTCCCCCTCAAAAAAAGAAGCAAACCTACCTTTTCTGTGTATATGGCTAAGGGAGTCATCGGATTAATAACCAATAAACTAGATCCAGCATAGGTGTGTATTAGGTTACTACCGTATCTTTGACGCAATGTGTGCCACACCCGATTCATTCAGGTTGCGTAGGGTGGCAATGTCTTCAGCTCTGTCAAATTGGGGCGGGTTGGCCTATATTTGAGAAATAGAGAGCGCATGTCACAATCAACTCAAAAGCAAGCATATGTACCCGATCTTACAAAATGGATTTTGCGATAACTCTGCTTGATATACACATTCCTTCTGGTCTTTTCTTTACTTAAATACATGCACGATCAAAAGATGACATAATCTATGTGAAGAACCTAGAAACAACTGTAGACCAAAGACCAAAATTCACATTTGGTGTACACTTCATTGTATTACTAAAATACTACTAATTTTGTCCATGTAATTTACATAAGAGCATGCTCTACTAACATAGTAAATACAGTAGTAGAAATATAATGTATATTTTGAGTTGGTTTATTTATTACATATAACATTTACATTATTACTATATTTCTCCAATGATTAGCTGTCATCAATGGCACGTAAATTACTTTATAAAATGTTCATCATTTTTTTTAATACCACAACAATAATACAGACAATGTACTACGACGTATAAAAATACATTTTTTCGTAAAATACTGTAATTGTTCTGGTTTTACTATTTTAAAATCATAAGGCATCATTCTGGGAAGGTACTGAATATATGGCGCCCTCACAGTACAAAACATGTGTAATACATCTGTTGTTTTTACCTTTTCCACATCTTCCTCATCCACAGCAAGCACCTCTCCTCCATGTTCCAATTTCACCTGAACTTTTCCCTCGTCTTCCTCACCATTGTTCAACAGCTTAGCTCCAGCAAAGCCTCCCTTGTGCACCAGCCAGACTTTCTCGGCTTTCAACCAGTCATGCTCCGTGGCAAGCTGATCTTCGGTCTTCGCCTGTTAACAACAAAAGACAATTTAATCAGCATTTAACAACACTTTATAACCATTGTATGTGCATAGCAATAGAATAGAATAGAATAGAATAGAATAGAATAGAATAGAATAGAATAGAATAGAATAGAATAGAATAGAATAGAATAGAATAGAATAGAATAGAAAAGTTTCTTGTATATTTGCTATTGGTAATAGCTAACTTCATAAACTTTTCAGTTGGATCCCAAATGCAATGCTAACTTCTACATCTTTCTGTAATTCACAATCCCCATTGAGACCTCTCATTGAGACCTCATGTACAGTACTATGAAACACTGCATTATGGGAGTGTCAGGTGTAAATCGTTACCTATTCAACAACTACAAGCTGCTTGTTGAAAGAACCCTATTGTAACAGTAACACCTATCACTTACATACACGTAAATGTACAAGCTAGATGAATTTTTTTTAATTTTTTCAGAGTGATAGCGACACACAATAAATGCATAATGCATAAAGCTATAAGCTGATGAATTTTCATAGATATTTCAACTAATATTAAACGTGTTAAATCAGCCACAGCTGTACAATGTCAAAACGATTATTAGCCCAAGCATGTACTGTCGAATAACTATACACGGTAACCCAAGTGAACCTTGTATTGTACATGTGTTTTGTTCTACTTACAAAGGTGATAATGGAGCACTAGGTCATTGTGCTGCAGAGAAAACTGATTCATTCATGGACAACTTCACTCAGGAATGTTTTTCTAACAGGGAAATGATGTGTAGATGTATCTATGTTTCAAGGTGTTTGAAATTTAGGAAATCAACATTCAATTTTTCTAATGCTAAACATGAATCAGCCATCTGCCTTGAGAGCCAGGCACTACTGTTGAAGTGCATACCGGTGCATGCCATGGATCTATCAGAGATTTATGACATTAAGGGACCTAATTACAATTTTATTTACCCAGGCAGAAAGATTTATTAGTGGAAACACTAATACAATACAGTGTCTTTAATTTATGGAGGTGTCATGCTTAAAGGCACATCCGTGAGTGTCGTAGGCCACTATTGTCTAGAGTTGTGGGGGGGGGGGGTGATAGTTTCTGTATGTTTGAATTCAACAAAGATGCTACCATCATTTATTTTAGGGATAATAAATAATGATAATTACATAACGAAAACAAGACTGGAATTTGAATAATCTACAGTGACAGCAGAGTTGATTTTCAGTGTTAGTATCAAGTGTACAACAGATTCTTTCAGTTTTCTCCAATTAGAACATGGTTAACGAAACATTTTTAACATACCGGTAGTTACATTGCCCATATGTTTATGAATACATTTATGTATAGTAAACCTTGCTTCAGTGCTTGTAAGTACTGTAAAAGGATTAATTATTCACTGGGTTTTTATTTTGCTGACTGGAAAATGCACTAAATTAAAACCCAGTGAATATGTGAAATTGAGCATAGAGCACATTGGCTAAATAATAAAACCGTGAATTTAAAACCCACTGAATATGCCTGAAATGGTAAATCAGCAAAATTTTAACCCTGTGAAAATTAGTCATTTTACAGTAACAAGAATTGTGGAAATCACATAAGAAACTATGCAATCCTCACTAGAAGCTAATCTAGAAGCATTTGAGAGGATTATATACGTAAAATGCTCATTATATAGGACAGTTGGGTGTCCAGCAGTTACAATTCATATTCACTGTGAATGTCAAAGATGAACTGTGTGTTATCTCAAATGTACCATAACAACTTCATTAATTCACTGTTCTTTATGAAAACAAGTAGCCTCCCGATCAAGATACATGTAGCTTCCACTGAATTGAAGATATCATCATGAAATGAACAAATCTAAGAGGCCTACCCAAGGTACATATATACAAATGCATATAATATCAAAGCAATCAGACTTGTGATTTTCAACAAGTAAAAAAATATCACTTTTTACCAAAAATGACAGATTAGAGATTTGACGATATCATCATGAAATGAACAAAACTGAGAGAGGTCTACCTGAGGAACCTATATGTATTCAACAAAAAGTTGAAAATATCACTTTTTTACAAAAATGACAAAAATATTCACCCAAATTAGAGAATTAAAGATATTACAAAATGAACAAATCTAAGAAAGGTCTACTCAAGGTATGTATATACATGTACACTGAGTATCGAAGCAATCAGGCTGGTTGCTTTCAAGAAGCCAAAAAAGTAAAAAGTTGACACAGACGACGATGACAATAATTATTCAATATATCATATTAATTCGCAGAGTTCAAAAAAAGATTTATATTTGCTTTTTGTACAAAACACAACAGAAATCATTATTTAAAAAAAAAATTGTTACAAAAGCCAGAATTTGACCTTAATACCTATTGACCACAAATGTGTCTCATGAAATTATACTACTAGTGACCCTCGGGAAGTGTCCCAACATGGTCAACATACACAAAAGTGACCACTTAAAGGACCCTCAAGGTTGACCCACAGGCCAGTGACACTATAAATTGCATAGATCAATGTACACAACTACAACTATACAAGTACATGTACTTCATACATCTGTGGTATAATACAAAACGTTGTCAACAATCATCTCCTTACAATGTCTTACACACTGCTTTATGTGACTATAGCCAACAGGGCAAACATGGTGGTTCACTAGGAATGAAGTATACATGTAGTCCAAAATACACCTTAGACTTTTAGAACATTCAACAAAGAGAAAATGCACGCTGATTGCAGCAATCTAATCACCATTTTAATATGATCAATATATTCTATATGTACAACTTTACAAACATATATAGTGCTAACAGCATTCTGGCTCTCCATATCAAATTCATCTTCACCTATCATAATTATAATTTTTCATAAATACCCTAAATTGCAATGACTTTAAAGCTACTAACATCTGGGGTCAAGGGTTACATGCAGTGTACCATCCCAGAAAGTCATAAATCGATCGTTTCGATCGTTGTATTGCTGTTAAGTGAGACGCACATTTGAGCAGATGCACAACCAAGCAATCAGAAATATTGCACCTTTTTACAATTTCTACATCCAACGTAGTCCATGTGTAAAAGAAATACAGTAGTAACATCAACAATTTTGTGCCGCAGAGGTTGAACATTTACATTAGACCCAACGTAGTCCATGCACAGAAGAAATACAGTAGTAACATCAACAATATTGTACAGCAGAGGTTGAACATTTACATTAGACCCAAT